AGCCCAGGAATCCAGAACGCTTCTACATGACTACCTGCCTTGCTTCACATGGTGCAGCTGCAGGAAAGCAGGAAGCAGAAGAAGGGGGCAAGAAGGGTCCGCCACTCAGCTAACTTGGATTAGGGATCCTGTCTTGGTTTCCAGGACTGGCTCAGACACGACGATGCTAGCAATGCAGCTCAGGTGCTCAGGTAGTATCCTTGGCTGTCATAAGTTCGGCCCCTCAACTCACTCCACTTCGTGCTTTGTCCAACTGCCGCCGGGCTACGAACCTTTGTAACCACATTGAGCACCTGGGCTGGGGCCATGGCCATGGCCATGCATCGGCCTACTCACATTCCTTTAGGAGAGCACCGCTGCACGTGAGAAGGAGGTCTCCGTGTCTGCATCGTTCTCGGTCTTCTCCTGCAGGGTCAACGGTCTCATGTACCATTACCATGCCCTCCAATGTGGTTTCGGAATCGAAACAGTTTTCGAGAGTTGCTGGCCTCTGCTGCGCATGCCACAACATGCCCGCGACTCACTCGGATGCATCGTCCAGGAATGAAAAACATGACGAAGCTAAGCGTGCTTTGTCTCAGGAGCCCGAGAAGGTGCGCCTTCGCCTGACCCTCCTGGCTGAGCAAAGGCTGGGATGCCTGCTGCGGGTGAAGACGGACTGTGAAGATGCCACATGTATCATCAAGTTTCTCTGTTCTACCTGGAGTTTTTCCTGGCGGCACGCAGTGTCCGGCAATCCTTTTGTTCTCAACTGCGGGTTGGTGCACCTGGGCACTCGACTCGTCTGCTTCGGTCGTTGCAGAATCCACCCGCTTTGCTTCCTGGCATAACACACGGGCTTTTGCTCACAAGGCCCACAGCAACAGCTTACAGCCTCATGCTTCAAAACACCGGACGGCATGAACTGAACTGGCCGTGTACTGGCAATGCCGCAGCGCAATCTTGTCTTGCTTGCCGGCTTGCCTGGTTCTGATCTTCTTTGGACTTGCCGGCAGCACCTAGAGCGTCCCCGATGCAATCAAAAGGATACCTTGCACACTCATCCTACAATCCTCTTGCTGTCAGGCCTTACAAACGATGGAAGAACTGCTTGCTTGCAATATCTCCATAGGGGCTACCTAGACACAGTCACCCAATTGTGGCTTGTGTTCCACGAAGCCCTCACTTATATTATATTATACTGTATTATATTATATTATAATATAACGAGGCTCCGGCCAAATCCCAGACTCCGCAGCGAGAACGACGGAGACTCGGCGAACAGAGTCGGATTCAGTCGGATGCTTCCGCGGAAAGAACTTGTCTTGTGCAGCGTTCACAAGGAACCCGCAACCAACAACAAATCGGGAGAAGATTTACATGGCTTCTGCTGGAAGACAAAGAACAGCATGGTTCATGCATGCAGCCTTCCGGCCCACAGAGAAGGAGAAGCTATCCACAATGTTGAGGAACACTACAGTCAGTAGCTTGTTCGTAAAGCTTCAACCTCGTCGAGCAAATCGAAACCCACAGGTCCTCTTCGGCGGTACCCATGCACCCCGGCAAGCCAGTTGCTTGCTTGGCAACCTTCTGCGCTTTCATCAACTCCCGCCAGACATATGACATGGCCTCAACATGCCAGGAGTGAGATGCATACAGATAGACTCACTAGACGCAAACTGAGCATGCTTGTGCACCAAGCATGCCGATCTGTAGAGAAGGTGTCTCGTCGGGTGAATTAAAACCCTCGCTGGGTGAATTTAAACCTCACCCGACGAGGCATAGACAATCCACGAGTTCATGGCCTATGAACCTACGTAGGGTCATTCAGAGTCCGGCGGGGAGAACAAGAAGGAGCCGAGGATTCACAGAAAGCTGAAGCTTCATGCAATGCAGCACAGAGCGTACACGTGCTGGTGCAATGCAGAAAAGAGGCCAAAGACATATCGGAAAAAAACGAAGGTACGAAGAAGTGTGACGAGGAGACAGTGAAGCATCGAAGATATCGAGGGAGCGCACTGCAGGTGTGCACTGGTAGCTTGCACAACTCTGCGTTCAGATCTGTCAGGCATTGCAACTGCAAGAGTAAGGAAACCAGAAAAGGACATGCAAGCGGTGCTTCGAGTGCCCACACCCAGACTCGCAGACTAATTCGACAGAACATGCTCAATGCCTTTCCGGTGCGCAAACCCACTCACGAATCCTCCCCACAAAGGACCTGTTGCTAGAAGATTCTTTTTGGAGGAGTCCTCATGCTACGTCCGGCCGCCACACGCGGTGAAGCCCAGTAGCATGCCAACGATGTGGGCCCCTACACAAGCGATACAAATAAACGGATTTCGTGACTGGAAAAGCCGGGCTGCATCATCTGGCGGCTTCTTGTGCAAAAGCTTGGTCAGAAGGGTCTGTGGCAAACAGGGAGAACAGGCTCAATAAAAGGTTCTGCTCAGGATACCAAACAGACACCTGTATTTCCCAATCTGCTGCGTCCACAACAAATACATACCGGCACTCCATGGCTTTTCCTGATAGCCAGAGACTGGAAACTCTGCTAACACGCAACCCTTGTGACACGCGAGTCTTCGCCACCAATCAGCTCATTTTCAGAAACCCTCCACGCCTCCACCTGACTCTCCGAGATGATGCCATGGCACTTGACATCCAGCTCATCGAAGAGCTCTTCAGCTCGCCGTTGGTCGTTCTGAGGAGTGCGAAAATTCGACGGAGAAGTGACTATTCTCCGAACTATAGGGCTGAGATAAGACTGCGTGCCCTATCTTCCGCCTGCTCCTCTGATGGAATCACTTATCGGTCTCGTTCTCGCAGTCAGTCTCCATCATGGAGGCCTGCACCCCTTTTAACCTGCAACCTTGAAAGCACATGAGCGCCATTTTGCAGCTTTAGAGTCCGCAAGCTTCTGTGCGAAACGCCGCCGGCGTTCAGCCTCAGTATACAGCATGTAATGGATGATCTCGTCCGAGCTTGAGCAAGCAGGGATATCTTTGACCCTTGTCAAGTGCCATTTTGGCACTTTGTCTCGCGCCGGCATATTCTGCATGCTAATAATGAACAAGTACCAACACGAGACACCAAGAATTATGTTTAGGGTAGAGACTGCCGTGTTGCCCCTCAAGTATTGCTGCAGGTACAACTGCAGGTGCAAAGCGCAAGCTGTGGCCCACGGTGCTGCTGCGACTGGTGGGACAACCGACCCTTACTAAAATTGCATCATGCTGAAGCCTGGGAGGCACTGAGCCGAGCGCCCCATCAAGGGATCCTGCATCAGTCGCCATGCTTTGCTGTTCCAGTCAAGCCATGTCAATCCTGGGATAGATACCCCCCTCCCCCCTGCAAAGCGAACTGCAACCTTTCCAACCCCCGACAACCCTCCAACCGGGTATAGGGCAGGAGGGGAAGGGGAACATTGCTGTGTTCAGGCGTGCTTGTGGTGCAGACTACTGACTACTGCTTGGCGATCTTGACGACACTGAATGCTTGGGCTCCTGGAATACGGGCTTCAGTATGGTGAACTACAAACCTGCATTATCAGTTTGGACACTACTTCACTCACTCTGCAGCATGGCCCCGTCCTCGCTTCCTTGGCTGCACTCCGGCTCCGAACATGCTTCTGTTGAGGGCGTGCAACAACCGAAACGGTGGCAAGCATATGGCAGAACGACTCCATGCTGCCAAAGCTGCTTCTTGTTGTGTCTCGCAGCGACTACCGCAGCTGCAGCCATGGCCCCCGACAACTTGCCGTAATTCCCTGGCCTCTCGAGTCTGGGTCACTTCAGCTCTCTTGCGGCTGTTGCGCTGCTTGCAGGAGTTGTACAGCCATCTGGAGGCGTCTTCAGGTTGGCATGCAGCAAGGAGCTGTTGAGGGCTCGTGCTTCGGAGTCTATGTAATTCAGGGTCTCTTTGAAGGCTCTAAGACAAGCCACGTACATGCGCATGACAGTGCCCTGGATCCGAGCCAAAAAGGCAGAGACGTTCGGCACTCGATAACCACTGATATCTTGTTCACAAGCTCCGCTTGGGAAGTTCGGCAGCAAGCACATGAGGGACGAACTGCAAACCCTCATCTCATCATCAAACAGAATCAAACTCATGCAGAGGTGCCTCAGTGTCACGGGGATCTGACTGCAGAAGTTCCTGCTTTTTCTTCGACAGCTCCTTTCAGCACGAGCTAGGCTTGGGCTGCGATTTAACTACCATCCGGGACCACCTGCCTCCAACTTTGCGTGGCACTTCTGGATTGCTTGTCCTTGTTGCTTGCGCTGGTCCTTCAGCGGGAAAACTCTGGTGCAAACCTGTGCCTGTTTGACTAGGAAGCCCAGCTCTTGAAGCCAAGCAGTGCACTGAACGGAAGAGGTCCATGAGCACAACTGCTCTTGATGGCTTTCGGCAAGGCACCCAGCAAGAAATTCTGAGCGACCTTTCAAATTTCCTGACATCAAAACGCAACACGAGTCCTGGAGCTTCATCAGCATGTTCAGCTGCGGATTGTCGGCTGCCCGTCGGGACTCAGCAAGATGCTGAGCAGTATCACACGCCCGATGTACTGCAGCACCAAGCCCGGGCGACGGAAGGGCATGCAGAGCCGTTTAAGAAGGTGTCATGGGGCCCATCTTCGAAAAACAACTGGAGGTCAGCTGCCAGCCTCTTTGCCTGTCTTCCCGCTACTACGTCTCGCCCTTTTCAGGCCGCTGCAGCATCGCCACCGCCGCTGGCCGAGACCTTCGCAGGGCCATCAAGAATACATTCACCAAGGAAGGTCATGCAAGAGCAGCCCTGGGTCTCGTTGACAGCTGAGCTGCGTCTGTCGCCATCGACTCCGTTCGCATGCCCCCCTAGCAGGGAAGTCAGGGACATGCAAAATGACTCCGAGAATCTCTGTAGACTACGAAAACGTAGGCAAAGCCAGCCGGACGCAGCTTCAAGGCTTCCCTCGCATGCCCTAAAGGACCCTGAGAAAAGATTGAGCACAGGGCAAGGTGCTTTGCAATCGCTTAGGACAGGGCGCCGCTTGGTGCCGCTGCCAGCGCCAAAGCCTAGCAACGCGCTGACCCGTGTCAGGCAGATTAAGCTTTGACTTCTACCTGTGCCAAAAGAACGGTGTCAGCTCAGCTCTTCGATGTAGGCTCTTCGATTAGTTTCAGTTGCGCGTTTTGGTGCGCTTCCGTGCAAAAGCGCCTGCGCGATGGCATCATCCACATCGTCCGTCTTCGCTGCTTTTCGGCCTTTGCACGCAGATCCAGAGCTCTCCAATATTTGGAACGCCATGCAGCTACTGGAAAATACTGGAAACGGTGCCTTGAGACATGAACCCAATGTCTGGTTCGGGATCCCGAGCTCGGTCCCGGACTTGCATGGACCTCGCGCAGCTTCTCCTTCCAAGCACGAGCACCACAAGCGTTTGTCGGTTCTGAAGTTGTTCTAAAATCTCCCTAGAACCCCTTTCTGCTAGGCTCCGCCTTCAGATCAGCAACCTGGCGCTGCAGGTCCGCAATTTTGGCCTTCCTCAGCTCAATGGGCCCTTCAGGACAGCTGTCAAACCACACCCTGTCGACTGCCAGACTGATTTGCAACGGCAAAGGCTCTGAGTGCCGGAAGCCGTCACGTACTTGACCTCAATATATCTGGGGGTTGCAGGATCGCATGAAATGCCCATGACTTGCACAGAGCTGCAAGTGCATAAGCGAGGTCAGGATCACGGGTGTATCATACACATAATTCAGCAGCGGCTTCCTTGCACTTATTGCTGCAACATTCTATGCCAGACCTCCAAAATCGCGGGAAACAGCTGAGCTCCATGCTTGCGGTTGCCTTGCCACATTCCTGGGCCACGAGGCCAATCGCCGGGGTGAGAAGGAAAACCAAGCAGAACATACAGGGTCGCCTGGAGAGCTCTTGCTCCTACTGCAAAATCAATGTACTGTTAACAGGAACAAGACTACAGATCGGTCATGGACTGCAAGGAATTGCAACACAATTAAAGTTCAGCATATGCTTCGAGGGACCGCAACTGCTCGACCGTAAGCTTCGAAACGTCACCAGACTTCCTGAATCACAGGCTGTGGAACACAGTTTCGCCAAGGAGCTTGCAGCGATCGGCAAAGGAGAGGGTGTTCAACGACTCCTTTGGAGCAACTAAACAGAACGCTGTATGACCAACCCCTTCAGCTTGTCCACGACCCAGCACACATCCGGCAGGTTACGAAGTGTCCTCGTAGTCCTCCACACGAGGATGAATCGTCGCAAGAATCGACACCTGGTCGCAAACTGGACAAGCTCAGATCGGAGTGAGAGCTCACTGAAACGAGACTGGTCTGCGCACTCAGGACGTCCTTCCCGCTCTGCAAGCGCAATCCACTAGAACTTTCTGAAATCGTACTGGTGGCCTGGGTGCGGAGGGATGTGGACAAAATCCGGGTAAGCTTGGAGTCCCGGTAGGGCACATGTCTCCTTGGTATCTCAGCAAAAGTGTGATCAAAGGGGTTAATCGTTGACAACGGGCATGAGAACGAAAGTGGCAAGCTGTGCTTCTCGTTCTTGATGCGTCCTTTTCAGTCATGGCTCCCTCGCCCCATCCCCAAAAGACATATTCCCGATTGCCGCCCGAGGCGCACCACCTTTGGATCGGACGCCAGGGCGAGGACTACCTTCCCCAAAGCCGTGAGCGAAGTGTTGATGGCCATGGCTTCCTGCGAAGTTATGCTTTTTGGGCTCGGCCGGGCTGGGAGGCATCTTCAGGTTCTTTACATGAACCAGGCGCGGCTCAAAGCGGCTTCTGCCACGACCGCCCTCAAACTCTATGCTAACATGCAGTAGTATGTCTGTTGCTGCGGTTGCCAGTATCAAAGTTGTCAACGTCGTTGTCTGTCGTTGTCTTTTGTTTGCCACTATATGTTGTGAGCCGTAACGCTTGCCAGAACGCCTGGCCGTGCTCGCAGGCTTGGGCATTCAACCTGCTGTTCTCGTTCTGCCACGCTCAAACCGCTCCACCCCGCCGAACAGTCTTCCACGCAAAACAAAACGCCTGCGCAAGACTGTTTTCAAACACCACGGTGGCAACAGTCTTGCCAGCTCTGTTTTCACACCACAGGCAAACGGCGAGACGGTCCCAAATCAGTCCTTCTGCCCAGAGAATTTTGAAAAGCACGATCCCCCGCAATTTTCTGTTGTGCACCTTCTCTGAAGCCACAGCCAGCCCCAAGACACTGCTGGCCTAGATGAAGGTGTGCATGCGACCATCTATCTGCTTACCGATCTATCTACAGGTTCATGCCTGGTTGTGTGTACACACAGATCCGGGTAAGTAAACAATCAAATGCTGTGTACATATATATATATATACCTATATACAAACACGCATGTATGTAAATAAATGTCCGTACATCTATCTATCTATCTATCTATCTACCTATGTCTCTGTCTGTCCATGACCCTCCCCCCTTACTTTAAAGCATACACTGCTGGTGTGTATGTGTCTACTCTGAACTCTAGCCCGTGTGCAGCAATACAAATACTACATACGATAGTTGATAGTCGATGGTCATTGGAAATCTCTTCGCACAATCCGTGAACCCTATGGAAATCAATAGGCGCTATTGAATTCAACAGGTCTGGTCTGTACTTAAAGCTACTTGTCCAATGAATTTCAAAAGCGGCAGCTGTATGTGAGGCAGTATCAATATTATTGTTCCTGGAAGCGGGCCCTTGACAAGGGGTATCGTTTCTGGGTTTCCCCTATCGTTTTACAAGACTTTAGGCACGTGACTGTATCTTTGACTCATGTTAGACTAAATA